TTTGGGGGGTCGTGGAGAGGAGTTTAAGTATCATCTTGTCAGATGGGAGCAGGTTTGTAGGCCTTTTCAGTTGGGAGGGCTTGGGATTAGGAGATTGGCCCCTCTCAACAGTGTTCTCCTTTGCAAGTGGCTTTAGAGATTCGGCAGTGAAAGACATAGATTATGGAGAAGGGTTGTTTCGTGTCGCTTTGGGGAAGAGAGAGGGGGGTGGTCAGCTAGGCCAGTCAGGTCTGTTAGTGGAGTGGGGGTGGGGAGGGCCATTGGAAAGGGGTGGGATAAATTCTCCAAACATATTAGATTCAGAGTTCGGGATGGAAGGAATGTCCGGTTTTGGGAGGACTCCTGGTGTGAGGATAGGCCATTGGCTCTTTTGTTCCCAAGGCTGTTCAGGATTGCTGTTCACAAACATGCTATGGTTGCTAACTGCTATCGCTTTGATAGCGGGAGGTTGTCTTGGAATGTGCGATTCCGGCGATCTTTTCAGGATTGGGAGTTGGATGATGTCACTGGTTTGTTAGCTCTCCTGTACAGACAGGAGGTGGAGGGCACTGGTGCAGATTCCCTGATTTGGGTGCCTTCTACACAGGGGATGTTCCAGGTCCGGTCCTTTTTCGTGTGCCTTTCTGGTTTTCATGGTACCACCTTCCCATGGAAGACGGTGTGGATGTCTAAGGCGCCTCTTAGAGTGGCCTTTTTTGTATGGACTGCAGCTTGGAGTAAGATATTAACTTTGGACCACTTGAGGAAGCAAAGACATATCATTGTTAATTGGTGCTGTCTTTATAAGTTTAATGGGGAGTCAGTGGATCACCTTCTGCTGCATTATCCTGTGGCTCATGACTGTTGGAGTCTCATTTTTGGTTTGTTTGGTATTCATTGGGTCATGCCTCGGACTTCTCGGGAATTGCTAGATATTTGGAGGGGCCAATGGGTGGGGGCTCAGGCGAGAGGCTTTTGGAGGGTGACCCTTTTTTGCTTTTGGTGGAGCCTTTGGAAAGAGCGGAATAGAAGATCTTTTGATGGGAAGGAGTCCTCCATTAGGGTGCTGAAATTTTCTATTATTTGTATTATTTTTTGTTGGGGTTGGGGAAGAGATTATTCTTCTCTCGAGGATATTGTGGACCTCTTGGGCTCTTTGAGTTCATAGGTTCCGTTTTGTTTTTGTATAGCTTGGGATGCGTTCCCCTTTTGAACGCTTTCTAATACATTTTACTTATCAAAAAAAAAAAAAAAATCCGCAATGTTCATAGATCTCATTGGAAAGGCTTTGATACTACTTGCAACAAACGTAAAGAAAAGTTAATAATTTGATAATATCTCTAAATTATATTGATTAAGATCTGTTACAGTAGAGACACGCTGTCCTTTATATAATATAACTAAGGGTAAAGCGCAGAAAAACCCTCCTAAACTATTGCCCGTTTGCAAGTAACCCCCCTAAACTACAAATTACCCCCTTAAACTATTGATTTATTGTAATTAAGGACAAACCCATAACAAAAGACTATTTTACCCTTTCTCATTAAATTTGTGACTTCTTATTAAATTATTTTTATTATCTTTTCTTTTATCAAAATATTAATTATACCATTTATCTTAATTTTATTATTACTATCAATTTATCATAAAAATGAAAAAAAAAAAATTCTAATTACAATTTTATAAAATGATTAACTTATTGTTAAAAATTTACTATTTATAATAAAACTTATTATACTCACTTCAATCTTTTAACCATAAAAGTACCTTCTTTTTCATGCAATATATTCATGAAAAAATAATAAATTACATAAATACAAAATACCTTCTTTTTTATGCAATATATTCGAAAATTAATAAATTACTTAAATACAAAATACCTTCTTTTTTATGCAATATATTAATGAAATTTAAGAAATTACTCAATTTGTTTTAATTTTTTTTTTTCCTTAAGATTTTTATTTAAACAATTAATTTCAAAAATGAAAGGTAAATTTATGCAAATTTAATGGAAAATATGTCATCAAATAAGTATGAATTTTTTTCATAATTTATTTCAATAAGAAAAATGGATTAAGTGTAATTCAATAAGAAAGGGCATTATGGTCATTTAATGAAATATAGTCAAGACATTGGGGCATTTTGTAACTAAATGTGATAGTTCAAGGGGTAATATGCACAAAATATACTTTAGGGGAGTTATTTGCAAATTCCGACATAGTTTAGGGGTTTTTTTTGCACTTTACCCTATAACTAATAATGACTCCTGATTTCTCCTAGATTGACTTGCATGCTCTATTTGTTTGAGGGAAGGATTGAGGAGGGATGGAGCAGAAAAGGTATGGAAGAGGTTTGTCTTGTTTGGTTGGAAGGAAGGGAAGGGAAGGAGGGAGGAAGCAATGAGGGATGAAGCATCTCTCCTAAGCGCTGCTAGCTGTTGATTTTTTATCCGCCCAAAATTGGGTGGAAGAGAGGAAGGAAAGAATGATCATTTAACTTATTAATGTGTAATACCTATTTTAACACTAATTTATTTAGAAAATGACTTATTTTAACCTTCATCAATTTAAACCCTACTTCAAATTCTCTCGCATAAATAACATTAACAGTCATGGGTTTTTGCGAAGCTGCTGAAGCAAATACAAGAACTTTGTTTACCTTAATTCGAATTGCGTTAATAGTACACCTTTGGAAAACAGTTGATAATCAGGCAAAAATCTTTGACTCGTGGTTAAGCATGGCAATTGATTTGGGTCCCAAACACTGTCGTACAACTCATCAGTCAATGTGATTTAAGCCAAAAGACTCCGCACATTTATACGTGTTTTGGTTGTGTTGTAGAACTAATCAGTCCATGTGATTCGAGTCTTAACTTTATTTTGTTTGTTTGGTACTAGAGTTGCTTTTTTCATTCACATAAATAAATAAATATATTGGTCTCTCTTCAGGATGAATGAAATTTGGTTACATTGATTTCTTATTTTTGCAACCCATTGGAGTATTTATAGCCAAATTTCACTCCTTACCTTATCTAGATTTTTTCATTCTTAAAATCTACATTTATTGTTATGTTGTAGATGCTAGATATTTTGAACATAGATTTTCAATCCTGAATCTAGATAATTTGAACACATTCTTCCTGCTATTTTGAACACAAATTGTTTAATGAGTGAATAAATTCTTTTGGATGTTACCTACTCAGAAATACGTGAAAAATCCTTTCTGCTATCCCTTCCATTCAACCAAACAAAAAGTGAGGGAGACACTTTCCCTTGCCTAGGGATGCTCCATCCATCCCTCCCCCTCTCCCTTCCACCCATTTTTATATCCCTCCAACCAATGGAGCATTAGAATCCCCTCACAACATTAATAACACTTTTACCATTTTTCTAAGCTAACACTTAGTATTTCCAAACCTTAATTAATACTTTTTATAGAAACAAGGATGCACTTCGAATTCATTGAACAACAAGAAAGTTTTCAAGGCACCATTCTTTGTTTGCACTATAATGTCAAAGTTATTGTGGATAGAGTTTGTAAGGAAGGATATGATAAGTTTGATTTGACTTTGGTTATGGCCTTGGTCAGTGCAAAATGGAAAAAATAGGATTCATATAGCTGATGCCAAGTAGTTGGGGGAAGCCTTTGTTGAGTTGAGTTGTACTGAACTGAAAATAGTGGTAGAATCTGTCACTCTGGGTTATAGTACAAATTGTTAGTTGTCATATATAGGCATATTTATCTAAGTGCATGTTGAGCTTCGAATTGGTAAGTGTGTATCTGAATGGTGGAGTTGATTTTATGATTATTAAGTCATTCCAGATTAGCATAGAAAAAGCTTGGGGACTTTGAGCATTTCTTCATCTTGTGTGATGACCTCTGTGGGCGAGCGTGATGTGGCACCTTGGATGAGCTACCACACTAGTATCATGATCCCACACGACTGGGAAATGTGAAGCGTGCTATATGTAAGGTTCAACACCCTTCTATGACACAACACTTTTTAAAACCATGACGGCCGTGAACCCATCAAAACTCCAAAATTAAGCATGCTTACTCTGGAGTAGTGACAAGACGGGTGACCTCTTAGGAAGTCTTTGGTCCGGGGAGCCAAAAGCAGACAATATTGTGTCTGGGTAGGGTGAGGGTTGTTACAAATGGTATCAGAGCTGGAGTCCCGCTGGAAGTGTGGCCAACGAGGATGTTGGGCCCCATAGGGGGTGATTGTGACGACTTATATGATGTGGGTGGGTGCGAGACACTGAACGAGCTACCACACTGGGAGGTTACAGGGTATTATGATCCCACATCACTTGAGAAAGGTGAAATGCTATATGTAAGGTTCGACACCCTTCTGTGACACAACTTGTTTTAAAGCTGTGATGACAACCCATCAGAACTCCAAAGTTAAGCGTGCTTACTCTGGAGTAGTATCAGGATGGGTGACCTCACTGGTCCGGGGGAGCCAAAAACGGACTATATTGTGTCTGAGTAGGGTGAGGGCTGTTACATCTTGACTTGTAGATATTAATTAGTACCCGCCTTTTGACTTTTGATCTCCAGGCTTCCTGTCATTGTGCCAAATCACATCCACATTATGCCTTAGTGGCTTCTAAGATATAGGTAGGTTCCTCCATGGACTTGGGTTGAAAAGTCTTAATATAAGAGACAGCCAAACCAAGACCTGAAGGTTTTGAGTCATAATACACACCCAAAAGAAGAAAGAAAAAGGTAAAATTGATGTTCTGGAAATTCAGCAAGATATATGTGGAGGGTGTTAAGAGAATGAGCAATCAGAAAGAATGTGATTAGGAGACAGAATAAATCTAAGCAAGCACGGATTGCAGGTTTTTCGACAATTTCCTCCAAACTTTTTATTCCTTATGTTATTACTTAATTTTTTATTTTATTTGATTCTAATTTCTACAATAGCATTTAATAAATTAGCCACTGTCATGTCCATATACTCCCCCCCAATATCCCCTCCTTTAATATTTTATTTTTATTCCTTTGTGTGGCAGACCATCATTCCTAGTACCCTGCAATTATCAGCAATGGCCACCCAGATGTTGGTTATCAGTCCTAGTCTCTCATTGATTTCTGCTTTGGTGAGGAAATAATAACTAGATACTTTTTGCCCTTTATTCTTGCTCTTATGTGAGTTATTCATATAGTTGTTCTGAGATGGAAAATTTCTCTGGTATACTCAAGGTGATTCCTTCGATGGCTCTTGTCATTGCATATCTTGGTGAAAAGCTCCATAAGATATCAAAGAAGGCACATCTCAGCATTGGTAATCTGTCAGCCTACTTGAATGAGGTATATTTTGTTTTGTTATTGAATAACTGAATAGCTGGTATTGTTTCTTCCATGTTATAATGTCTTGCGGGTTTTGAAACATATAGAACATTTATATGCATTTTTACATAGAGAAGAAATACTATGTCGTGGAGAAAGAAGAGTAACATAGCCCATAGCATGTCCATAGGAAAGTACTTGTTTCATCCTTGTTAGAATGCATATTTCCCTTCTATCAAAAGATTAAATGTTGTCCTTAGCATAGTTGTTAAAGCCCCGATTAAAATCCCAAATTGCCAAACTGATCCTGATGTCCCATCCAAAATCGCTGGGATGTAGAATCTTAGTAGTATCTGTAGAATCGGAACTAGGATTGTAGAATTGCATAGGATCGCACTATCCTACCGATTCTGCTAATCGTGTTATTTTTTTCTTCTAGATTTATTTGGGTCTACAATTAATTTTGGACTAATAAATTTAATCATTTTAAAATATTAAGCCCAACTCTTTAGCTTAATTACATGGAAATTTTTTAAAAAGAAAACCAAAGAACGAAACGTCAAATGTAGAGATGATCAAACTCTGAATTTCAAAGGTATGACTCAAAACTTCAAAAATTTCCTCTATTTTGTTTTATTCTTCTTAATTTCTCCTTCTTTTTTATTTTTTATTTTTAGCACGAGGAACATAAATTCTATTCCACATATTCTTTGTCTGTTATGAAACAAAAACTAAGTGACACTTCATTTATTTCCGTTGTTCTTTCTATCTCTATTTTGTTCCTCTTTTTTTTTTTTTTTTTTTTTTTTTTTTTAACCAAAGTATAACTTTTCTACTAAATTGGTCACACAATTAGGCAACTAAATTGTACTTTTCTCTCTCTACTTCTCTGTTCCCTTTTTTTTTTTTTTATTTGTTTAGGCTTTACTTTAATTTCTTCTCTGAGATTTTGCTTGATTGTTTTGCTGAATTTTTTTGTTGAAATCAAGAAATTGATTTTAAATGTTTGTCATGTGTCTTAGTATGTTTGAATGTTAATTGATTTTTCTAGAGTGTCTTATTTGGTTATTTTGCCTTATTCTCTACTTATATCGAAATATTTGATTTAGAAAGTTGGTTTGAGTTACAATTCTAATAGATTTATAGAATCTATCTGATCCTACGATTCCGATCCTATGGTTCCAATTCTAACAACCTTGGTCCTTAGTCCTTAATATCTAATTATCTGTTCTCAAATACATTCTCAATGCATGTTAAATTGCAGTCCTGGTCATTCTTGTCTAACTGTATCATGTTGATTTACTGTTATCTGTTTAATTTCAGGAGTTGTGACTTGAGGTGCATGCCATGTTCATTTCACATGCTATTATCATCCACTATTTCCCTAATAGTTTGTTGATGTAAATTTAAATCAACTTAATTAATAGATCAATCTAAATCAAAGTAAACTCGCAAGTATACGAATCGTGTGTAGACATGGTGTGTATTACGAGATCGTTCCCACGGGGATTGATTAGGACAACCTAATTCTAAAATCATAACTTAACTAATTCAATCCAAAAATTGAGTGATTGAAGCTAAAAGAACAATAATAAAAAAACAATGGAAATAAGTACCAACGCTTGGAATTCCATCTCTAATCATCACAACTTCTATTTTTAATTGCAAATTTACCAAATGTTCAATTTAATTTCCACACATCCAATACATAATATTTTTGTTTAAATTCATAGATGATCTATCCTTGGTTAGGCATAATTTCAATTAAATAGCGTAAATTACACTGAGTCACTGACCTTTCCAAGGTTTGCCATAATTACACGGACCTCCCCTATGGTTTCAAAAATTACTTTGTCCTCCTCTAAAAAGTAAACCTTGTAAAAGGGAACTCCCATAATAGTGACGGACCATCAAATGGAATAACAGAATTGCGTGTTTTACTTAAATGCCCTCAAATAACAACAAAAACTTATTGTACTGCCATCTCTTATTAATGAGACCCAAGAACCAAACAATGCCGCCTCACACTCTCTCCTTCCTTTGTTCTCATCCCATTTTCAATTTGTTTTGTGTTTTTTAAAATTGTTTATCACAAGACCTAATTTTCCTACACAAGTAAAACATACATACAGATATAGATTTAGAGAGAGAAAGAGAAGAGGTTTAGAGAGACAGAGATGGGGAAATTCTTTCGGGTGCTCGGCAGCGAGAGAGATGCTGGTGTAGGCAACGAGAGACAGAGAGACAGATGGATGAGCAATGAATCAGGATAAATGCATTTTTCATTTTGGCATTAGACAGTTAGTTATAAAATTGGGAAACCCATTTCATTTTCGCACATTGAAGCATTAGAATTTTTTTAATAGGATTTGAATTGAAGTTTATATATATATATATATATATGTATGTATATGCATATCAAAGGAAAGGAACTCTCATCTCCATGAGCCCATCATGATCAAGCCCTTATGCGAAGATAAACCCTGTTTGGGGTTTCATTTGAAAAAGTAATTTTGTAAACCCATACCCCACACACACTCTCTCTCTCTCTCTTTATATATATATATTTCTGAGATAAAAACTAGGACAGTGGGTCTATCAAATTTCTAAAGAATCCAGACAATTTGTATATGCTCACAATCCATACACATGATAACACCTATTCACTGGGAATTTTAAAACCATTCACCGGAATCTATAGAATGCAAAGAACAATTAATGATCTGATCTATTAACAACTTTGATAGCAATAAGAAGATCAAAACAAGTGACTACACCTGGAACAAATAGATATTTTAATGCAATCAGCTTTGAAAGAAAAGAAATAAATCTGATGAAGGGAAAACAGAGAGCAAGATTAAGCTAACGAATAGCTTTTTTTTTTTTTTTTTTTTATGATAAGTAAAAATGTATTAGAAAGCGTTCCAAAGGGGAACGCGTCCCAAGAGCTGTACAAAAGCCAGAAAAAAGAAAGGGGGAAAGACCTATGGACCCAAAGGACCCAACAAGTCCACAATTTCATCTAACGATGAATAATTTCTCCCCCAACCCCAACAAAAGAGAGAACAAATAATAGAAAACTTCAACGCCCCAATGGAAGATTCCTCCCTGTCAAAAGATCTTCTATTCCGCTCTTTCCAAAGGCTCCACCAAACACAAAGGGGGGTCACCCTCCAAAAATCGCTAACATGCGCCCCCACCCTTTGGCCTCTCCAGATGTCAATAAAATCCCTTGAGGTTCGGGGCATGACCCAACGGACACCTAACAGCCCAAATAAGACTCCAATAGTCATGGGCCACAGGACAATGCAGAAGAAGGTGATCCACGGACTCTCCATCATTCTTACATAGACAACACCGATTGACAATGATTTGTCTTCTCTTCCTTAAATTGTCCAGAGTCAAAATCTTACCCCAAACTGCGGTCCACACAAAAAAGGCCACCCTAAGAGGCGTCTTTGACAGCCAAACCGCCTTCCATGGGAAAGTGGTACCGTGAAACCCGGAGAGACAGAAAAAGAAGGACCGGACCTAAAAAGTCCCCTGTGTAGAAGGCACCCAAGTCAAGGAATCCGCACTAGTACTATCCTCCTCCTGTCTATACAAGATAGCCAACAAACCAGTGACGTCATCCAACTCCCAATCCTGAAAGGATTGTCGGAACCGCACATCCCAAGGCAACCTACCGCTATCAAGACGATAGCAGTCAACAACCAAAGCATGTCTGTCAACAACAATCCTGAACACCCTTGGGAATAGAAAAGACAATGGGCGATCCTCGCACCAAGTATCCTCCCAAAACCGGACGTCCCTTCCATCCTGAACTCTGAATCTAATATGTTTAGAGAACTCATCCCACCCCTTCCCAATGGATCTCCACACCCCACGCCGACAACAGACATAACTGGCCTAGCTGACCAACCCCCTCTCTCCTCCCCAAAGCGACATGAAATGACCATCCTCTATAATCTATGTCTTTCACTGCCGAATCTCCATAACCACTTGCCTAGGAGAGCATTGTTGAAAGGGGCCAATCTTCTAATCCCAAGCCCTCCCAACTGAAAGGGCCTGCAAACCTAATCCCACGCTCCCACTTGATAAGATGATAAAAAACTCCTCCCCTGACCACCCCAAAGAAAATTCCATTGAAGCATCTCAAGTCTTCCAACAATAGAGGAGGGAATCTAGAAAAGCGAAAGAAAATAAGTTGGAAGACTGGACAATGTACTCTTCACTAGAGTAACTTTTCCGCCCTTCGAGAGATATTGCCTTTTCCATCCAGCCAACCTTCTCTCAAACCGCTCAATCATCGGGTCCCAACTGCCCGCCGTCCTGGCTGAGTCACCTAGTGGCAAGCCCAAGTGCAAGAGCATCTAACAAATTGCTTAAAACACCTACAACTCAAACCCTAACAAAAGGGAGAGATAAAAAGCTGCTACAACAGACTAGATATATTGATAATACATAAAAGGCTGCTGATTACAACTTGGAACAGCCCTTTTTTAAAACACAAGGGATACCCTAGCAAAGATATAATCCTAGCCCTTCAAATAGATGTAATCTAAAGGCTAGTATTTTCTCCAACAGAATAAGGAGCTACAAAATGACTAAATAGTCCTTAGATGGTGTTTAGGTGGGGATTTCAATTCAGTCAGGTTCCCTTTAGAGAGGTCTACTGGAGGAAGAAGGTCCATAGACATGGATCAGTTCTCCGACTTCATTGATGAGCACCTTCTCATTGATCTACCAATGGAAGGTGCAACCTATACTTGGACTAATGGTAGAGACCTAGTTACTCTCTCAAGATTGGACAGATTTTTGATATCCGGGGAGTGGGAAGAAAAATTCCCAGACGTTGTTCAGGCGGTCTTAGAAAGGGTCACCTCTGATCATGTTCCTTTAGTTTTGGATTGTGGGGGTTTATGTTATAGGAAAACCCCATTCCGTTTCAAGAATATGTGGTTGAGAGCGGAGGACTTCCAAGGGACTATTCGTTCTTGGTGGGAGGGTGTGATCGTTAT